GCAAAAGCACAGTGTACAAAGATTGCCTGGACGCGTACGTCAATAAGTACAGAAATGTACTTTTGAACTGCTTCGTCAAGCGAGCAAACCAAACACCTGCCAAAGTCACTGGGAACAGAAATGCGAAAGCATAAAAGATCACACACTGCTGGCACGCTGCAGATTGCAGCCTGCGACTCTTATTTACCGGCCAATCTGAGCTGGACTACCTTATTCCTGTCCCTTGTTTTCTTTTAGTTCCTATCAACACCGCGAAATCAAACAAACAAACGTGTAACAAGGAACTGCAAAAAAAAAGTATTTTTTTTTATGCTACTGCTTTTCATTTTTTTTTCTTTTTTTTCCATAAGCGCCGCAATGATCGTTGTCGTTGAAGGAGTTTTTTGCTGGGTGACTTGTATTTTTGTATCGTCTGCTAACTCTTTTAATTTATTCGCCGTTGTTCGCTACCTGTTCTTTATTTCTCTTTATTTTCGTCTCAAAAGGGAACCCCATTTTTCCGGCAGAGTTCGGAAAATGTTTGCACGGTCATTTTTCTCGTTATTTTTTTTGTTTTCGTTATGCTGCAGCGGCTGGTGCGCTTGGTCTGGTAAACTTAATATGTTGTTTGCGCGCGTTTTAATGATCACTTATTTAGGTAACAAATTGTGACAACGCAGTCAGTTATGGTTGAAAAGTAGCCTCTTACGACGTAGTCCGAGCAGCTTAACGCCTTTCTTTCGCTTCCCAGATGCGCTCCAAACTCGTGGGATCGACTAAGCGGCGTTTAAGACCGCTCATTAGACTGCTATATTAGTTTTGTTTTTTTTCCGCGCCTTGTTATTTGAGTGTCGTTTCAGTTGCGATCAGTGGATTCCACTTTGCAAGCGGACTGCCCGTAATGAAGTGTATTAGTTGTTGGGGTGACGAAACGGGGCTCGCAAAGCCTCTGCTTACGTAGACGCCGAGTCCATTAGAGGCATTCGCCGCAGCTCCCATGAGATTTTGGAGAAACTACGCTGTATTTACTGGCGGCCACCGCTGCGTGTGCGACTGCTTAGCGCGAGCTGATAACGAGCCACCAGAGTTCGGTTGCAAAATGCATGCGACACCATTAAGATTGCCGATCTTAGCAATGTGAGCTCGTTCCGAGCACGATCACTGAAGCAGGCAATCGAGCAGGCGATGTAGCAGGCGATGTAGCAGACGATGTAGCAGACGATGGTGCTCATCCGGGCTACCTAGGGGGCGCTGAGGGGATCTACTGGGGATGACGCTTAGAGGAGGAACCGTGCAGCTCGTGTTTTCTAGGTCGTATTGAGTGAGCACTCCTAAGCGGTGAGCTTTTTCAATTCCGGAAAATCTAGCCTTAATATCGAGTCGAGTGGTCAGTGGCGCCGTCTAGGTAGCGTAAATTTCACTAAACCAAAGATGAAATTCTACTGTATCTTTAGGCAGGTTTTGCCTAGTCTTCAGGTTATCGCCTAGAGCGAACAGAGAGCAAGCGCTGCGACTTCCAAGTATGCGTATTCTTCAACGCACACCACGGGTACGGCCGCACCCGCGGCCGCCAAGGTTTATGCCAACGTTGGTGTACGCTATGCTAAAACGTTATAATGCTTTAATAGCCGGATTGGAATAGCGTTCCCAAGTTTACCTGACCACGCGAATCAAAATAGGGTTTCGTGTGTTTCTAATTTTCAATTCAAGATCCAACAAAAGAAATATGCTTTCTTTAATCCGGAACATGAAAGTCTACCTAATATTTATTTTTCGGTAATGCACGAACACATTTTTTATTTATGCTAAAGTCAAATTATTTAGCGTTTGTTCAGTTTTTTTTTCTTTATTTGTAAGCATTGAGCGATTCATTCAATAGACGCTTTGACACATTTTTGCAGCGACCAGCGACTGCGTTTCAAAGCTACACGCGTGAGTGAGTTGAGGCTAGCCATTCTGGCCCCTCTTGTTAATATCTCTACACGCATGTATTCAGTTCTATCTCGAATATCTCGTATACGAGTAGTATGCAAAAAGACGAACTGAACTAATACATATATTTTGATTAAAAGTGAACGTACAATAGTTGGTGAAGAATATGATCTCATCCCGTTTTCTTTGTTTTCTTGTCGGTCTTTCGCAATTATATGTGTGATAGTGTAATAAATTGACACTTGTAATATCCGTATTGAAGGTACAGCGGCACTAGCGTGTTTCGACGTAAAGTGTTTATAGACGAAGATTAAAGAGAGTAACACTGATAATTAAGGTATACCTGTGCTCATGTAGAACGTTCCGGCGGCGCACGAAGATATATTGATGCATGCATTTCTATTTCGTTATGATAGACAACTCGTATAGCGCAAATTGCGAGGGAAACATAGTTGTCAATATTAACGAAACAGAACTGTATGTAGAGAGAGTTTCAAACACTTACGTTCCTGCCACGGCTCCGACGTTTCTCGGAAATGCATTTCACTAGATGTTAATTCATGTACGCAAAATGCATGCAATATAAGTATAAAGACAAGGTTCAATATATCTGGGAAAATAGTCGAAAGATCGCAATTGCACCAGTGGTAAAAGTTTGAAGATCAGGGGAATGCGTTTGGTGAACTACAACGCGCACGGGACTTTAGAATGAGCAAACAACGTTAGTTCTTTTACTCACTGATACTTATTGCAGTAGGCTGGCGGGCAGATCGGGAGCCCGACGGTGGCATACGGTGGTGGCGCCACCGACGGTCCTTGCTTTAGACCATGCAATGCATATATCTCTTCGGGAGTATTCTATAAAAATTAACTTTTTTGAAGCTTGTTTGAGGAGTCTTGTAGAGAAACTTTATTAGATTTCATAGGAATAGTGAGGCAGAATGTAATACAAATTAGGGAAATCTCACTTTTCGAGTGCCAAGCAATGACCGCCGGTCATGCCTCTCGGCCTGAAAAAAAGAAGCATCGATCTGCGATCCAGCCTATGCAATGAAGACCACTGTTCGTACTTCTCAACTACCATGAGCTACCACTTCTCAACTAGAGGTAGTGGAAAAAGTAGCGGCGGTGTGCAATCGGCCGTCTGAAGCCAAGGGTCAAATGCTACCAACTAAAGACAATCGGTAGCTGGTTCTGATGCACCACACGCTTTATTTCATCACAAGACATTCCTTGCGATCCTTGCATTTTTTCCAACGACTTTGGCAGCAAATATTAAGATGCCCTCAATCACTAAGAAGTTGTGGGAGAAAACCAAACATACCACCTTAAATGGCCGTGCTGATTGTTGTGCCTCCCCTAGTAAAACAAAAGCGATCTTGAATAAAAGCTGACAACTTGAAAACGAATAGGGAATATTGTTGGGCGAGTTGGTGCTGAGTTTTTGATTGCATGGCAGTGATCAAAAACAACGACGTAATTAGGACATCTGATGTGCATTGGTCTCCAGTTATCCTCCTTATGTCCTTGTTTTCGGGCTTTACCTGGTATTCTAAACTGGAAGCAAAGCGCGGAAATAGGGGATAGAGTGCGGAAGTATCCACACAGGAACTCTATGTATCTGTGTTCCATGTTGAGGATTTGCGAGAACTCCAATAGTCCTATGACCGGTTAGAAAACGCAGGGCATCGCTTTTGTTCTTCATGCTTCGTGACCTGGTTTTTAGCGTTCGGCTAATGCTCCAATCTCATTCGCTCCAAAGCAATGATAATATGTTCGGAACTCCCCACGCTCTGCTTTACCTAAGCTATCGGGCACTCTGAATAGCAAGGCTGGCATGCTGAAGTATCCACGTAATCTAAAGAAGGCAATGAATATGAGTTCTGTATCAGCGTGCGGCCGAGACCCTAGCGTGCTCAAACAGTGTGTCCTCGTCGAACAGCGACACTGCTCTTGGGGCCGCTCTGTTCTCTAAGTTGGGCGTCCTCAGGTGAAGCCGGAGACTAAGCACTACGGCACGCAAATGGAGTTTAACTTTGTCCGGGACCTTCCATCACCTATGAGCGGAACTGATAAGTGATCTCGCTGTAGAAACTTCCTGTCATTTTGTCTTTTTTTTACAATGGATTCTTTGGCACAAACCGCTACGGAACCAACCTCCTTCCTGTGCGATGCGCAGTTTTCGGACGAGTGATTTGGCCCACGTTTCCAGAAAAACAGCCCGCTTATTAGAGTAGCAGCTGAGCGAAGGCTAAGAGTTTCTGTACTCATAGCTGTGGCAAGTTCAGCGGAAATACGAATATTCCACTTAGAGCATTCGCCATACCGACCCTTTTATGTCAGAGCGAAGCATTGCCGATGGGCTGCACAGTGGATCCGCGTGAGAAATTTTAAAATTTTCAAGTTGACATGTTCATCCTTAGGCTTCTTTAGTGACGAACTTGGTTTGCGACGTGCTGTATGCTTGCTTGTGACAGTATAGACGAGGTTAAAATGATCCAATTATACACTCTAAGAAATGTGGACTCTATTTTTTCCCGCAATACATATGTGAAAACCGAACGCTAGAATCTACAGCGGGATATGAGCGAGCATGGTGTTCGATATGCTTACGAACACACAAAAAAAACGGTCTGTGTTGTAGTATTGAGCATGGTAAAGCGTCATGCTCAATGCCACAGCGCAGACTGTTCTTCTAGAAATAGCTTATGTTCGACCATGCTATTCGCTGAGTACCTGCGTGCACTTCAGCTATTGGCCCTCAAAAGTGCTTGGCGGAAACATTGATGCTCTGGATTTGTTAAAGTGCAACGTTGCGACGGAAATCCACCAGACGAAATCGAACAATTCTCAGTTCCAGGAACCTGCACCGTTACAAAAGGTTGGACAAATTTGTTGAAGCCATTTGTGTACACATTAAGCTTCCGCAAAATGAACGTACTACATTATTTATGTGGTTAGCACCATCTCGGAGGCTGGATGTAACAATGGAGTAAGCAAGTGCTTTGAAGACGCGAAGAAATTTCACGCAAAGTCATAGATTCATCAAAAACGCCACCAGGTGGTTTAAACTTGAGAAAAAAAACTCATTTGAAAGTTCAAGCAGGTTTTGCATTCGTCCGCAAAACAGGGATCATGTCCATGCTCGCGCATTCGAGCCTCGGATTGCTTGTGCTCAGGAGGCCTCGGGCGTACTGATTGAATGTACACACTTGTGCATACTGCATGGGAAGATGAGTACATGTTTGTGCCTAAACAAAATTGTACATAGGTTGTTAGATGTCGTGTCATATGATTTCATTGGAGCCACGGCCGTGTATCCGCTCGTTGAGTTCGCACAGTTGCTGCAGGAATCCCTGGTTTGGGATGATTTCCCGGCGCCCGCGGACGAGTCTCACAGCCTCTTGCGCCGTCAGGTTCCGTTTGAGCATGAGGAAGGCCAGCACCAAGGTTGCCGACCGACTGATGCCCTCCTTGCAATGCACCAACACTTTTCCTGCGCACGACAACACACAAAATATTTCTGCAGCGCACTGAGAACAAAATAATAAAAATTAAAGGGGCACTTGGAAATAAACTTTACGAAGAGCGAAGAGTTTACCTGTCGCTGACTGACTTAGCTTTTTAAAGGTAAAAAAAGCAATGAAGGCGTACCAGGCGCCCGATTTTGGTCAAGGTGAGAGCAAAAAGGCCCGTTCACACTCTTGCGACCTCTTAAACCTGGGTTCCTTAAAACTTCTTAAACCAGAAAACACACTAGCGCCATCTATTGGGAAGCAGTGTAAACTCAGCGGTCCGGCATATTTTTTTTTTATTTCTCGCGCATTATCCTTTCTTTCTTGGCTCGAAAAACTTTTGTCAATGTTACAAACGAGCCTTTCTATGGGTATTACGCACATTTGACCTATGAAATCCCGCAAAACCTTCGCTCTTGTGAAATGCAGTTCTAGGGTCACCGCATAGATGGCGCCACAATGCCCAGTTTGTTCCCTCACCCTAAAGGATTTAACAAGTTTTAAGAGATCTCGTCTCTCTCAGTCGTACTCGGTCGCAAGAGTGTGAACGGGCCTTTAGGGCGTTATCGGCTGCGCGGCGCCACAGCTTGCGCCGCGCAAGCCAAAATCGATAAACAAATTATAATTGTTTACCTGTTGTGGAGTTGACAATAGGGTAATTGAGAGAGAGTTTTATGATACCTCTCTTGGCCAGCAAGGAATGATAGTGTGTGGGTGTTATATACTAGATATACCAGATATACTTTATCACATAGGAATGCTAGTGTGTGTGTCTGAAAAATGTGCGCTGTGAAGTCAGTATTCGGATAATATTTTGGAAAGAACGTCTGACCAAAATAAAAATTGTGAAATAGGTGTTGCGGGCACTGATGTTCTTGTCCATAACCTCCTTTATTCTGAAAACCTGTAAGTCGCGAAAGAACGTGGCAGCTGTAAAGGGGAAAGGAGATCAGAGAACAAGGCGCACGCAAAGGCTCTCTCGGACAGCGCCAAACAATACCCCAGCGGTAAACTCTGGAAACACGAACGCGCTCCTTTTGTTATTTTCTTTTCTTTCTTTTTTTTTTTTTCAGGAAAGGAAAAGATTTTGCGTTTTCTCCAAGCGCCGGTAACCTCATTGTTTTCTTTTCTTTCTCCGTGGTGGTTCATTGTTGTTTAGCCGAGAGGCAACCGCGCATATAGGCTTTGGCTGAAGGGCTACTCAAGAATTGGCTCTGCGCTACCACCTGGGCAACCTTTCGGTGCTTACCCTCGCATTTTTCCGACGGCCGCGAGCTCGGTAGCTCTGTCGTGGAATTGACAGGATGTTTAGAATAAAGGAGGCCATGACTTGTCCTTAGTTCTCCTTGATCCACCGGTCCATGTTAGTTTGTGTACGCTGGCTGAGCAACTTAATATTTGCCAGCAAAGCGCGTGTTGTCAGTGGCATTCAAAGCGAAACAGCAGATGATTACAACTTTATCCTGCGACTGATCTCACTTCGCCGCAACCCGCGGTTTGTAGCAGACGATTAATTTTTTTTCCGCATCTGCCAGCAGACGACGTATGTTGCTTTATGGTTTTATTTCCGTCCGCAAATGGCGTTTCGTAGCAGCCGAACCGTGTTCTTGGTTAGCGTTAGCAGACCAACTGTGAACGAACGCTACCGTCGCTCCCTCTGCCAAAGGCGAATTAGACATTGAATCCCGCTGTCGCGACAACTAACCTTGAACCGCAGGAGTCATGAGCCTTTGAATAAGTCTGAACTAACCCGGAAGGTGACACAAACTTGGGAAAAAAAATTTCGGAAGGAAGCTTTACTGGAAGTCGGTCTCCGTTTTGTTGAAAGACTAGCTGCCGAAATCGTTGCAAGAAAAAAAAAAAAGTTAATCCTGTATACCATGAGGAATTGCTAAATATCATTTGAAAACATCACTATTTTCGCTCTATTTTGTTCTGAAGGAGAATCCTTCGCGTTTATTGTTATCGGCTACTCTACTTTCATACTTTTAAAATAATGCGCACGGGCCTGTCGAATATGACAGCTATTTGCAATGGTTAATTGTTTTGCACGATTAAAAAGCCTAATAACGCAATAACCCCAGCACATTCAGCTCCGAGGTGAGAGGGGCGATATATTTTCGTCTTTCAAGCGTCTAAACGACTACCCTGCAAACTAATGGTTAGGATTTTTATTACAACTGACCTGAATTTCACACGAAAATTGAATTTAGAATTGTGGTCAGCCTGCTTCTGAGCGCGTATCTTCTTCAGCGTACATTTCGCACCACTTAATGTAGTTCTGGTCGATAAAAATACGTAGATATAGGCACTTTTATAGGCCAAACGGAAACCGCGAATGCCCACGCTGCATCGCTGGCGAGTGAGAGTCGCTATGAGGATCTTCCGTCTACGAAGGAAAGAGGAACAGGCTATACTTTGCTTCACGCTGTGATTGGGTGGTGTCAATACAGCAGCACCAAATATATGCTTCCTCACGGAGCTCGTTGCCAGCGGGTATTGTTATAACCGGCTCAATGAATCCCTCAAAAAAGCGCGGGAGTGGGCCGTATTCACCGCGGTTTATTCGGTAATGGAAGACACGCAATGGAAATGAGCGCCGTCACGATGCCACATTTAATGCTGCTTCAATCACTTCGTTGGATGGTAGCGTCGGCTGCGATTGAATGAAACGAAATATAGACGTCTGGTTGGATACTGGTGCTGCCACCGGCCAATATGAGTTGCAAATAGGTTTAGTGCTTTTAGGCAGTTACATTAAAAAAAACACAGACCTTTCAGCTCTGGGGAGAGGGAACAGGGGGCATATTCGCAAGCACGAATCATCAAACATAGGTCCGTTTGATAATTCTTGGTTGGTTCCCTCCCCTCTCGATTCGAGGTTAATTTTTCTATCAACCTGGCTCAGCGGCATTCTAATTCAAAAAGAAACGAATTTCATCTTGACGCGTAAAGACACGCTTGATTTCTTTTATTCCGATCGAAAAAATTAAAATTAAGGATTGTGTTCGCGATGCAAAACCCACGTTTCCTGTGGGTGCAGACGGAATTCTTAGTTTTATATTTAAATGTGCCGCTGAACTTCTGTCTTCTGTCGTACTGTACGTATTTAAATTACTAGAATTCGAAATATTTCTGTCTAGTTAGAAACGCTCGGTGGTTCCTGCAATTCACAATTCAAGCGTTCTTAGCATTACAACCAACTATCGCCTTGTTGCATTTCTGTGGAGTCTTTCTTTTTTTTTTCCAGGTTAGTTAAATGATATTATGCGAGCATTCTTACAGTTATTTAAGTAAAAGAGTGTTCTGTGAGCAACACCGATTCTTTAAGGGGCAATCGGCGTAAACTAACCTGCGTTTATTTTGTAATACATCGTGCCCCTTCCATGGGACCGCAAAAAAACATTATGTAATTTACTTCGATATTTTAAGATATTTGACCAAGTATGATCATAATATTCTTCTTTCTAACCTCGAGAGTTATGCCTCGTGTTCTACCTACTCTTATTGGTTCAACCGTTATCCTTCATGTCAAGGAAATGGCGATCGTGTTTCGGTAGCATTATCTAATCTTCCAGAGCGCTACGGAAATGCAAACTTGGTACAACATTATTTTAATGTTTGTAAATAACGTCCTACCTTCTGTCTAGAAAGCCAAAATATTGTTCGCTGAATGGACTGAGCTCTTTCGTCGTGTTCGCTGCCTTTCAGACTGCGTGCTTCTTCGGAATGAAGCTTTAGCGGTGCCGATGTTGCGTTAACGGAACTCCTTTATTGTGAGCGAGCTAAAAAGGAAGACAATGTCGCTGAGCATGAAGAGTGACTTATTTGTATGTATATACCTATACCTTAGACTGCATTTTAATTGCCCGAGTATCAACTTCGTAATCTTGGAATTTCTTTTGAGTAAGCGTTCAGCTTTAATAATCATGTTTTAACTACATCATGAACAACCCGAGACTTGGAACAGATAAAAAACCGGACAAGAAAACGCACCGCCTAGAACTTACACACAGGTTATGTAAGTTTGGGACGACGTGTTGCTTGTCCGTTTTTTTATCTGTTCAAAGTCTGAATTTTTCATTACAAAGTTAGCTCACCAGGTCGCATCTATGTTTTCAACTTCATCGTCATTGATGACCAACTATTCTAAAACTTTTTTGATTACACTTGGCGTTATATCTCCCTTCACGAGGCTCTTTTGTTTGCCTGCATGTTCGTGCGGCACTTTTGTTTTTTGGTGCGCACAGTGCTTGAATTGGCTTGTATTCTTTGAAATTGTATTGATTATACTCCGTCATCTTCTACTGAACGTGTTCAAAGACGGTCCATAGGAAGTATCTGCGACAAATATTTGGTGGGCCAAGCGCTATTACAGCTATGACATATATTACTTCAGAAACTGGGATAATGATGTTCATTTAATAGACATCGTTTAAATTATGTATTGCTTTTCCTAAGTTTGTCAACGAAGTTGTCGATCCATTACTGCCTCTAAGCACCGCTTTTTTTTTTTTTTTGTCATGCCTTTTTTTAGTTTAGCCGTTTTCAATGCCCGTTTTATTTCTCAGTTTCTTTCCATACGCACTGGTTTACACCTCAAAACTGGTTTACACCTGCTTTTTTTTTTATTCCTATGAAAGTGTACCACTTTTTAGGCCTAAGGCTGTTTGTGGACACAAAATACGTTTTTTCATTATAAACGTTGGAGGTTAATATACATATATTATTCTGATTTTTGCATACCTTAGTTCTAAATATCGCGTATCTAAGTAATTTAGTGTTCATATCCGCGAAGACAAGGCTGCTTGTGTGCTCTGCCCACGAAAACTTGTACAGAAACAAAGCCATAGCAACCAATCGGATAAAATAAAATATGCGTTGTTTCTACAAGCATGTTTTATGTATTTCGCTCTTTGCTTGCTTATCTGAGTTTCACCAATATAGTTTGTTGAGTTGTAGTCGCCACTTTAGAGAAATGGGCGCCGAAATAACTGATTCGATGCCATTGAAACATACATGGGAGTACGTCGAAAACAAACGCCAATGTCTAAAACTTTTTGTTACATATATGGCGTTACCTGTGACACGTTACTGTTGAGTGTTCCTGATGGCACAGACTGACGTTGGTGTTTCATCTTTGACACATATGTAAGTGACTTCTGCTAACTTCCGGCACGCTCATTACGGCTCTGCCTGTATATAATCTATTACATTGATAGTTTCGAATAAAAATTGTATAGCAGATAGGATTGAAGTTGTGTTGCATTCACACCGAACCGGTTCCTACCGTGCACACTCACACACAAAAAAATAAACCTCGTTGCATTTATTAACAAATCCAGTCACGGCTTTCCAGACATGTTTATACAGATACACAGCAACAGCTTGTAACGGATACGGGGATAGCAAACACGACATTTGAAACATCAACTCAAATGTATACATACTCCCTCGAGCGTTTTGACTGGTGTCATACAATTACAATTGCTCCGGGTCAGAAAGTAATCAATTAGTTTACTTGGTCATTCTACCAAAAAGTAATTGGACATTGCTGTTAACGGCATCACGGTCACTCTTCCAATTTCAGAAATCACGTGATCGTTGCAGTTTTGTGTGTTGCAATGGCCTGAGAGAATTGACCTTGGATGTTTCATATTGATTTGGCTCTCATCATCAAGGCAAGAAACAATCACATAAAACAATGATTGGGGCGATAGATTCTTTTAACGACGAAAAAAAACCTCTCCGGCTGGCTCGACGATGCTACAAATGTTCGCAGTCCCAAATTATCCGATTTGCTATCAGCATAAAACTGTTGGTAAAAAAACTAGTTTGATTGATTTGGGTTAGCTTTTAGTCGCTGGCAGGATAAGAAACAAGGGGTGTGGCTTATGAAGTTCACGCACGTTGCTCGGTAATTTTGTTCTGCGGCCCTCTTCTTAACTGATGTCGCAATTTTATTGGGTCTGATTATAAGACGCTATGGACTCACCACGCCTCGTGTCTCTTCCAGTGTCAGTGACTCCATTCCTCATTTCTTATGACATGCTGACGCTTAAGTCCCTTTCTCAACCTAAGCCGAAATTTTAGAGGCACCACTGTGAGCAGCAGACACAAGTTTCATTCTACTTGGTGATAACGGAACCTGAAACTAACAGTAACAAATTAACAAAATAAAAGGGGGGGGGGGTGTACAGAAAATATTGACGACTAGTTTCTAGATAACTCTGAGAAGTAGCGAGATTACTCGTGCGGTAACTGAAAAAAGAAAACTAATATTAGAACTGCACAATTACTTTAAACATTAATCGGTTACGAGTAACTTTCATTCCCTGTACCAGATTACGCGGACGCCTGTGGGTACGGAACCAGTGGCTCACCTCCCGAGGCGATGGCCTTGTCGATGAAATCGGCCGACTCCTGGAAGAAGCGGTCGAGCTTGAAGCTGCTCAGGTCGAGCGCCTCGACGCCGTGAAACTCGATGCCCGAGCTCTTATAGAAAGAGGGCGACGTGTTGATCAGGCAGTACATCCGATCCCGACCCATGGCGGCGTTGAGCACGTGCGTCACGCCCAGGCGACGCAGCAGGCCCGTGCACAGCGCCGTGGTCCTGCGGCCGACGAGCGCAACAAAAACCGTATAAGCACGCGGCCACAAAAAAGAAAGAGATTTAATGATAGCATCGGTCCACCTACTACCTCGCGTGAAAGGAGCTGTGCAACGATATTCGGAAGGAATGCTTCTCACTTTAAACAAGCGTACGGCACTATACACCGTCCCACATGAAGTCTAGCCGGAGCCAACGCTACCATCTGATTAAACCGTTCAACCAGCAACAAAAGTGCGTCGTCAAGGCGCTCCTTGTTGTCTTTGCGGGTTTTCTATCGCAGGTTATACCAATAACTCACAGAAGAAAGCACACGTTCACAGCCCGTGTGTCTCCTGCGGTGAAGCCATATACCTTGGTGAAGCTCTGAGTTAACTTTGGCGCCCCTATCTTTGGCAGTACGTGCTTACCTGAACCCGCCTCGGTTCTACTCATGGCACCTCCACTGAGCTTTTATCTATCTGTATAGTACTGAAGGACGTAAAAACACCTTTCGAAGTCCTAAATCGCTTCGACTTAACGCCGCAAAACAGTCAAAAGTGTCAGATTCATACCAGCACCGCTAGGGTGCGCATCTATTATCTGCACTAGGTTACGTGACAACATAAGGTGTCCCGACGCTTTATTTTTTTTTTTCTTGCTTTTCCTTGGAACGCGTGCAACGGCGTCTTTTGCCTTACAGTTTCAGCGTCTTAGCTTTGACCTGTGCTTCGACGGCGTTCCATGTTATTGCTTTGCATCGTGATATCGTATTCCACACCAAAGCAGGCACGCTTCTTCTACATAGATGAAGAAAGAATAAAACAATTAAAACAGGGACAACACAACCACATCTTTCAATGAAAGATGTGGTTGTGCTGTCCCTGTTTTAATTGTTTTATTCTTTCTTCATTCATGACTTAAACCAACACGCTCTTCTCCCAAGCATTCTTCTACATGTGAGGGGGATCGGTGGCCGAGTGGTCTAGCGCACACCAGCTCGGAGCACGTGGAGCGAAAGCTCGCGCTGCAGAACCCAGGGATCCTGGGTTCGAGCCCCACCCCTGCCCGTTTCGAACTGGATGAGCATCGTACCGGCGTGCGGTCGTGTATCACTACTGCGTGATGCACGTTAAAGACCCCAGGCTAGCGGCTGTACCGCACTGGCTAAATTGCTCATCTACAGCTGGGAGACTCGTCGCCCCTGTGAGGCAGACCAAGTTCTAGGCTGTATAAACACACAAACAACCCAATTTCTACATGTGTGGCAGTTTCAGACGCTCCATGTTGTACTACCCTAAACAAGTCCCAACGACTGCCATTGTTGCATCGCCCCCTGAACCACGCAGGAGGCCTATTCAGTGTACATTATTGCTTTAGCCCGTGATAGCGAACGTACAAAGGCCATGAGCGCCGTGACGTGGCACTTTAGTAGCTGCTTGATTAGTTCCGTCGAATCTCGGCGTTGGCTGCGTAGGACTTAAAAGGCCCGTTCAACGATATTGGGTAAACATGTTTCTCATTTCACACTATAGCTTACTGACACTACTGGGAACCAAGATTGCTCCAATGCAACGCCACTGACCAATAGGCGTATTCGTCGTTGTGGAACTCCAAGGGGTAAAACACGACTTTCACTTTCAGTCCCTGCTTCGGAAAATGTGATGACGAAGGTGCGGGGACAATGGCAGCAATGCGATCCCCGGGACTGGGTCATCACACTTTGCGACCTCCCGCTGTAACGACAAGTAAATGCGCCTTGTACTTTGGACACGAGCACTGCGCAGGCTCTCAATTTTGGCTCGTGCCAATCAATGAATGCCTCGACATTCATTTGGAGAGTGGGTCGTGCCTAATCGCTGGGATTACGGGAATAGCCGAACCTTAACACTGCGTGTAACCCTGCGTTCTGCCAACCCTAGCGTGTGAATGTGTCAGAGGAAACCTAAAAAGTTCCTTGAAAAAAAACAAAGAAAACAGGTGGAAATGAATACTAGACTATTTTTGACCCTAAAATCTGTATATTACGTTCGTTTTTCTCGAAGATGTAACTAACCGCGTAAAAACACGGAAACGCTCCGACCAGTCGTTATGTCATAGGCAGATCTTTGGACCGCCAAGCGCGTGACGCTCGTGTGGACGGCGCATGCAATTGCAAGCTTGCCAGGTATTGGCGCCGAAATGTTTCGGTGGTCCCCTCTTATGGTTTCCATCCGTGACGTCACGACCGGGAATGGCCTCGCCGTGACGTCACCAGTTGTTATCCTGGCTACTTACCATCAGGTGCGACGACGTGTTCGGTGGTGTGTTTAAAAAGCACAGTGGAAGCTAGGAGCCATCGCAATCCGAAACTAACACCGTCACAGTTGACAATCTGACAATGCTCATATGCCAATGGTTTGGCCAATCGTGGAAAGCTGACCGCAGCGACGCTTTTGGTGGCGCACATCCCTAATATTTCTCCGCAGTGAAACCAGTCGTGACGCCTTTTTATGACCTTTTTGACATATCGAGAGTGCATGCACATAGCTTTGATAAGCTCTGAAAATACGCGAGAGCGGAGGTTCCGAAAACTCTGGATATGACGTCACGCTCCGGGAAGCTAGGGGCTTCTGCGACATGTTAAAAATTATTTTCTGCAGCCTGAATGCACCCAATTGAAAAATAATCTCGATATTCGTGATTCTGGTGGACAAATAAAAACGATTTAAGTGGTTTTTTTTCATATACAGAATTGTTTTAGTCTCACTTTAAAAACATCGGGGGCATGTTATCGGCTCCAGATCACGTGGCCCCTTGTCCTGGCTGCCAGTTGAAGGCGTAAGCGGTGTTTGTTTTTCTCATATTTTTTTCTGCGAAAGCATTGCATGGAGGAAAGAGCAAAAAATGTGTGTTCCATAGTTTTTTTTCTATAAATGTTAAGGAATAAATCACAGCTGTAGTTATTAAGAACACAAAAACTGTTACATCGCTCCTTTCAAGTGAAACGTTCTATAGTGAAACTTGGGTATACTTGCACGCAACGCCACTGACGAAGCTCATTTGTGGCCACGTAATTTTAGGGATAAAAGCGGACGTTTTTTTTTAGAGCCCCCTCCCAAAAGCTTGATGGAAAAGTTTTCGGAATCGCATTGTTGGCCTTGTGAACAATGCAGTCCCTAGGATTTCATCATCCAGCTTTGCGAACCCCGCATTGACGTCTTGTTTTTAATGCGGATCATGGGGAGTGCATGGACACGAGCACTGCATGAGCTTTCGATTTGAGCTCGTGACAATTAATGCGCTTGACGAGCCTGTCGGGTTAAAAATCAATACGAAGAAAGCAAAACACAACATGGGGACTAAGACAGGCTCACAAAACATGTGTTTTGCTTTCTTCGTATTCTGAGAACCAATGCTTTGACATGCATTCGGGTTCTGGCTCGTGTCCAATTGCTGAGAGGACGGGAATAGCCGATCCCCAACAATGGAAGACGGTGTGAAACTCAGCGCGTTCCCAGTGCTCTTCCGATCCCAGTGCGTGGCTATGGTAAATACTGGAGGCCCATAATCGGCCCCGGATCACATGGTTTCTAATTCTGGCTGCGAGTTCAGGCGGAAAACGCTGCTAGTTTTCTCGATTCTTTTTTTTTTTTTTTTTTTTGTGACTCGTTGCGTGGAGAAAAGGAACTAACACGTGGTTCACAAGTTGCGACATTTACAGAAAGTACGAAAATTGTTGCACTGCCCGCTCCGCCTGACACCTGAGCCAATGCTAAACGCGTGAAAGCAGGAGACCACGGATTTGAAACGTTTTTCCATAAACCGAGCGCTTGCGTTTTTAGCGAAGAAAAGGCCGCTAGGGGCGCTTCTGTTTTCCTCACAATAAAGCCGTACATTGGGAGAGTTTGGCCAATAGACGGAGCAAAGGTCGCCGCCAGCGCCAAATATTCCCTCAGCGGTTATAGCGTAAGCTGAAAGTGCGACACAGCGCCGATCAATCAACAGGCCTCGACGTCACAATATCAGAAGCGACATTTAATGCGTGAAATACAAGCCTTCAATCTCGCACCAGCAACCAGAGCAACTTGGTTTACTCTCGTTTGTAGCGCACGTTCGTTTATTCTACCGTCGAATACGGACGTGACGAAGACCTCCCATGCGCCAACTATTCAGTCACCAAGAGTTACACTTTTTTCTCTTGCGACACCAAAAACGGCTTAAATTATAGTGGACTGGCATCTTTAGAGCTCATGACCACCACTAGGGCCTGTTTCGCATCCTGTGGTTGGCCACGCGATGCTCGCCTATTGAAACCAATGAATGGACAAACCTGCCCTATACACGGCTCTGTTTCACTAAGAACCAGTATTTTTTTTTTTTTTTTTTTTAGTTTTTAGCTTTTATATTTTACAGAAGCTTGGCAGTGCACGTGCTTGCACCAGCAAAGGAATTTGAAGTATCCTCACTTTGGGTTGTGAAAAACTTCCACCAGGCGGCGACACCCAAACTTCTCGCCGCAAATACTCCATTCACCTGAAAGCTGAAATTGCAGCCAGGGCCTTAAGCACGAGAAGAGGAAACCACGGCCTTGAAGTGTTCTTCCGCATAACGAAGATTCGCGCTAGAAATGCACGTCTCAAAGCCAATCTAGCTTTGGCTGCAATCTCAGCTTAATTGTATACATATTTATATTTTAGTTACACTAGCGCACTTAACTGTCATTAGACCACCCATCGTTGGCATCTCCCGACTGTCATTGAGATCAACTAAGCTGTCCAGTGTTACAGGGTACACAGGCCTAACAACCACAGTGGACATGCGCGTCGATGGCACAGTTGATAACGAAGCGAAACCAAAACTGATGTCACATTACTTTTTGTTTAAGAAGTCATGCAAATGAATTATATGCACAGATTTCATTCAATGTAAACGTTTAAAACAAAATAAAAAATTTTTTTTGTAAAGAAAGGATAATTAGGGCGTTTCACACCAATTTAAGCAAGAGAGACATAACGGAAGTCTTATCGGCACCAACATCAAGATGGCCATCCTCGGCGAGCTTTGGCTTCTGTTATGTGCCGTGATCGTTTTAGCGGCAGCTCTGCCCTGGAATTATACACCTTCCGACAATCTATGCTGCTACGATACTTTCTATATACATCTCCCAATCTTCCGCTATAGTAAATGCTCCGCTGGCGCTGACCATGGAGGGATATACGCCGGCTGCCGCAACCTTTAGCTTTATTGGGGCGAACCCTATCAGTTAACTGGGGCAGGCCAGCTCAGTTGAACTCTATGATCGCTGGCGGGTCAAGCAGACGCTGTACCGGAAATGGGCCCCTCCGGGGCTCGACATTGTTGACAGGTGGTGGTGTGATTTCGTTGGTGGTGAAGGATTGTGCCCCGAAAGCTTGGATACGGATCAAGAGACTCTGTGGTTGCGCTCGCGATCATTTGGGAAATTCTCGCGAGTTTATGTATTAAACGGGGTCTCTCTACAGTCTTGTGTGCCTATGTGTCCGTGAGTGATTTATTTATTTTTTGTACCATATATTATCCTGAGACGTCCTAAATAAAATACATTTAAACGAAGTGAATTTGTGTCTTTACCCGATCATGGTCAAAGCCAGAGGCCTAGAGTGTCCTCCGATCGACCGAGAGAGCGCAGACAGGGCGTCGTCAGTGTCGTGCAAAATCAGCTGTGTCTACAGGCGCAACGGTTCTCCGCAGACAGCGAGGCTTGACGCCCTTGACGAGCCTGCTGTTGTCCACAGGCGTTCCAGCAGATGTTCACGACCCATCGATGACGGGGGGCCCCTTTTCAGAAGGCGCACTAGTGCTATAAGACTTAATTGAAGCCAGAGAAGCGCAAAAGCGTGTGTGCGCCCGGGGAAAAGCTGTGCTGCTTTTCCCCGGTGCAGCGATTTCGTGAAACATTCGCCGGGTCCTCAAAGATCGGGCTACCGTTCACACGGAGTTTCCACTATATGTTTCGTCGAGCAATTTCAATGAAGCACAGAATTTCTCCCATGGCTATTTTTATGGCAGCCTACCACCACAATTAGCCACAACGCTGTCTGCCATGAATGAATGATGGTGACTGCACCAGCTGTACGGCGGTAGATTGCTCCACCATACTACTATGATGTGGTTAGAGGTAATATGACTCTACCAAAAAGATGGCCGCTAGTGGCCGCATTCGTTGAGCGGGGAAAAGCGATCCAGCAAATAGACATGGAGATCAGTTGTCTATTCCTTTGTATTTTTCTTAAGAGCGCGTGTGGTCGGCATCGGGTATTACCAAGAATGTCATCAACCTAAGCAAAGCGTATATGAAGGCACCCTATTGGCGACGTGCGCGATCAAAAGCGTCGCTCTGGTCGGCCTGCCACGATTGGCCGAATGCTCCCTATGACGTCAGCAAAGGATTTCCCATCGACGCAAATAAAAGAAATGTAAGAGCTTTAATAATCTTGACGGTGTTGGCAGTGTTTCTTTGAGAGCGAAATGATTCCCAGCTTCCACCATGCTAATTACAAACGTCATCGAACTTGTTGTTCGCGAGGTAATGACGTCACGAGAGGACACCATGGGAGGGCACCATCAAAACATCTTGCCGCTAATACAGTGTATAGCTCGCGCTCGTGGCTTCGGCTGCATTCTCAGCTCAGATGTGGGCGGGGCTTAGCCTAATCGACCGATATCACTAAGCGTTCCACGCATGCGTGAAGCCACCATAACTTTAGTTCATAGGAGGCAGCCGCCAGTTCACGAGACAGCTTGTGCCGCTTCGTGATCTGCTCGCGCAGAACCTCAGCTCGGTTATCCCACGTGCGGAGAGACTACAGTTCCCACGATGATTGGCTTCAGCGACGGAGTTATGAAACTGACTGCCAGATCTGTCTATTCGTTCAAAGCAACACACTCGAGCTGGTAAGCTCAGCTAGGTTCGCTTATAAAGCAAAGCAGACTATAAAGAGTAGTCATGTACAGCCATAACTACGTGCTTTGCGATAAAGCGAGTGCTTTCACCAAGCGTTCTGAGAATTATTTTAACGCCGACATAAATCTTTTTTTTTATAACACACGTTAAGCTCCTTCGCACGCAGGTCGTGCTGATGACTATTTGTGCATACCTCTTACAGTAACAGTGGCCATAGTAAACGAGAGAATAAGAACGGCGGGGGGGGCCTCCAGTTGTCCCGCCCACAGAGCGACCTTCCTACCTTCGGTAACGCTTCGAAGTCACCTGAGCCCCGAGTGCGCGCGCGCAGCCTGAGCACTACGGAACACAACGAGTCCATGTCGTAGGCCGTGAACGCGAAAGAGTCATCCTGTCGCTCTAGTCCTAGCAGAAGTTTCGTCTCACTAATAAAGAGTTTTAGGGAACCTTTTTTGCACATCCGATGCGGTACGACGAGCGCTCCGGTACGAACTGCGCATGTAGGAGCCTTCTGCGATAGCGCATGCGCAGTTCCTACCGGAGGGCTTACGGTACCGTATCGGACGTGAAAAAAACAGTTTCCTAAAACTCCCTAATCTCTACATATCTGCATTATGGTACCGACCTACCACTCAATTATCAAATGCACCAAGGTGCATGTTGGGAATGCAGGTCTACGCGCCGCACGCGCTCGCCTTCCCTCGCAAAATATTCGAAGTAAATAAACAAAATAGGGCGCTGGCGAACGCTCGCGCAAGATGACCTTTCGTTTTGGCTTTTGCTTTAGGATAGTGACTGCTGCAGACTCCAGTACGTGCGGCGCGTAGACCTATATTCCCTGCATTCTCCGTGATGCTTGGGTAATTTAGCAATAGGTCTATGACAGTGTTTCTTAAGCCTAACGAGGCGACTGGTAATCGTTTTCGCGCGGATGCACCAGTAGACCGTTGCAACGACAGGATAAGTATCGGAGGAGCAGCCGTTCTTACCCATCACTGATGAAGATGTTGGGGTAGACCTCGTTGTAGGGATCTGTGGGCAGCTCGTAGTATCCGTTCGAGGGAGCCACCAAGATTCTGATGAGTTCCTCGATGGAACAGAGCTTCTTGGCTGGACGGGCCATTGACATGGAGAAGTACTTGGGGCTTCGCCACTCACGGTTACTGCGCGTTGAAGAAGAAACCGATATGGAGTTCTACTTCAAAGGCAACGACGATATCAGTGAATGTTACAGAGTCTCTCTTACCGAAACCTTAACGTTTCAGTAACTGGTCCGATCACCACTTCTTCTATTTTTGCTTTTATAGATTCCGTCTTTCTCTCCCAACAATATCATCCAGTTCCGATCGAACGAAGAACGCCTCAAGTCGTGTCCTTCATTTTTGAGGCCATCTTAAACGAGTACAAAATGGTAATTCTCTTTCTTAATACCTAGAAGTACATATTCAAAGAAACATTGCGAAAGTTTTCTTTGGAATTATGTGGAAAGATAATATAGTGATATGTGAATTGATTAATTAGATAATGAACGAATAAATATTTCCACGTTTTTTTTTCTGTCTAACGTTAATGTTAAGAGAGAGAGAGAGGGAGAGAGAAAGTGATAGAGAGGTATAATAAATGTTGTTTTAAATTTTAATGGGGCAATGAAACGTGTTTGCAACTTCTTCCTCCTTAGATTTAACATTCAACTCAAAAGCGAAATAAAAAATCACGTGCCCGTCACGTGCTTGTGGTGCACAAGCTTCCACTGTGTTTTCCGTGCACACCATGAAACATGTAATTCGCATATGATACGTCCGATAGCGTATAGACGCTTTGCGCACGAGCCAGATTACAGCCGCCATTGCTGACCTTCTTTTGTCTTATGGAGATACCGAGCCACTGAAACGGGTGTCGACGAGCCTCCAGAAAGGCCGATGCTGGGTAGAAGGACGCAATAGAATTTAAGAGGGCCATTACCTGGCCTGCTATGGTAATGATGAAGTGAAGAAAATTCAATAAGAGGAAACAAAAACTGAAGGTCAGTTATGGCGGCGCCCATGCACAGCTGCTGCAAAGCGTCTATACGTCCGAGTGACACAGTGTGTCCATTGGGTGGGCTGACCTGCTTTGGGGCCTTGGGTACCTTGGACGTATCATAGTGAAAAGGAGGAGAGCTTTTGAAGGAAAGTAGGTACGAATGATTCTGCTATATTTTCACATTTCCGCACCGAAATGCCAGCCTTTCACTTTCTACATTCTCATTTTTGGCCCAATAAACGTTATGCGATTAGTAAAAATCCAATCCGAAATCAGTTATCACAGTTCAAAATTCATTTCATGGCCCCTTAAAGAGGGTGATGCTTGTACACCGCGTACTCAGCAGGATAATGAAAAAAAGAAAAGCAAAATCGTTTGTTATTTTTTTCTTTTTCAAATTGTGTTCTAAATATTAGGTTATTTGTGCCACAACTTATTTATATTTCAATTCTTGTTTTGCTTCTCAAAACACTTTAAAATAATATTTTCGTAAAAGCACTCAAAACACTTTAAAATATTACTTTTGTAAGAGCGATCACACGGTGCAAACATATTACCCTGCGAACATTGGTAAATGAGGAAAAATTGGGATTGTAGTATAACGAGACGTTAATTGTCCGAATGGATTACACACGATTACGAAAAAACAGCGCGATAAAGATGATGAAGGAGAGGGAAGGGTACCGATATGGAACGCTGAGTGTGAACGTTTTTTTTTTTTTTTTTTTTTGGAAGCAACGTTTATCGGCGTGGTCACAGCAACTAGAAATGAATCAGATCACATGATAATAACGTTTCGGTATTTTAACATGTGCCCATATTGGGATTTGATGCATTCTGTGCTTGTTGTGAACTTGCCGATGGGCGTTACTTGAAAAATAAACAGTTGACATTCAGTGCTCCTTCTATGTGCATGTTAAGTCAGCTGGGGAATCGACGTCTTGGACACGCTGGCCCGCCTCTGGTAACGTTCGTTTTCGAGCAGCCGGACCAAGAAAATTCTGTTAGCCTTGTCGTTGCCGTCATTATAATGCCACGAATCTAGCAGTCCGTCCCCATGACAGGGCGGTTCTCCAGCTCACGTGTCTGCGATAGGCGCAGTGAGCAACATAACAACATGACAGTTATCTGTCCTTCGTCGCATTTATCGCGCTGTTTATTGGTATTCATAAAACTGTGAAATATGTGGTAAATTTTACTCGTCAATTATTGTATTAAATAATGAACCTAGGACCTTAAATACATTAAAGATTGTTTTGTACCAATTTAAGATGGCCGCATGAATCAATCGGGCTTTACATTCTTTCATTAGCGAGACCTAGTTTCGCGACGCTTATTTATCGTCTCGCGAGACAACCAAGGTTGTATCGTCAGTCGAACGCTTCCCACGAAGCCTGAGCGTGCAGCCTGAAGAAACACACAAACCAGTTTGTTGCTTGCAAAAAGCAGGTCGGCTATCACATTCCGTTGTCATGAGGAATAAAATACGTTGGCCAAACGGTAAGATGATTAAATGATAGGTTATTCGAGCGTAACCAAAACGTTAACAGCTATCAAAATGGCGATCACATAATTTACTGTCAAGACTGCGGCTGCAACCCTCTGTTTAACACTCGCACTTTTTTGGCTGACATAATGATAAGACTGTAAAGCCGGGGTCATACCATAGAGCTATTACAATAAACGCCAGAGGTTCAGGTGGCGCTAGTGTGCTGTTGCATTTTGAAGCAGAGAGCAAACAGTCTAAATTTGACTTTCCGTAATGCGTTTCTCTGGGAGAACGCAAATGCGTTTTTTCTTCGCGCTCAATTATCAAAGCAAGCATTGCTTCGTGTTGAGACAAAATAACAAGTTTGCAGCGTTTTACAATCGGGTCTACAAAAGTATATGTCAGAGCGGGTTTCTTTGGAATTCATGGCGTTAAACACTGCGCTAAAATAGCCCAGTGCACATGCTTAATGCGTGTTGACGTTGCAGACTGCTATTATAGGGCGTGTATTTACGCATATAGTCAGTGCTATAATGCACACCGAGTAAATCAGCTGGACAAAATATCAAAAGGATGCTAATATATGCCAAATCAAACAATCAAAACAAACAAGAACGAAGCATGGAGTAATTAACGAAGAACACCTACTGGGTTAGTAAGAAACTGTGCAGTAACAAACTGCATTTCCGTCTTCTGAATGCTATTGCAGCATGAATAAACCCTCCGACCTTTTTAATTCTTATTTTAGAGTGCCACTTCGAGGCGCCCGTTTGGGGGTTAAATGGCGTCGGCGTCGGCGTAACCGCTTGTTGCATTATTGGACGTGTGACGTCACACGTGAAGTCAAGAGGGTTAAGGCCCGTTCACACTCTTGCGACCGAGTACGACTGAGAGAGACGAGATCTCTTACAACTTAAATGTTTCTAGAATGAGGGGACACACTGACATTGTGGCGCCATCTATGCGGTGACCCTAGAACTGCATTTCACAAAAGCGAAGGTTTTGCGGGATTTCCGAGGTCAAATGTGCGTAATACCCATAGAAAGGCTCGTTTATAACATTGACAAAGGTTTTTCGAGCCAAAAAAAAAAGATATTGCGCGAGAAATAAAAAAAAAAAATATGCCGGACCGCCGAGTTTACACTGCTTCCCAATAGATGGCGCCAGTGTGTTCTCTGGTTTAAGAAGTTTTAAGGAACCCAGGTTTAACAGGTCGCAAGCATTCGCAAGAGTGTGAACGGGCCTTTACCCCCGTGAAAACCCCCGTGAGAGTTACCCCCGTGAAGGTTAGCCTCACGGGGGTACCCTCATGGGGGTTACCCTTACAAGAGTAACCCTTTTGAGGGTAACCCTTTTCAGGGCAACCCTACCAGGGTTATCCTCACGAGAGAAACCCTCACAGGGGTAACCCTCGTGAAGGTAATCCTAATGGGGGTAACCATCACGGGGGTTACATTTACGAGGATAGCCCTCGCGAAGGTGACCTCACGAGGGTTATCCTCGTGAGGTAACCCTTCATAAATTACCCCCGTGAGGGAAACGTAACCCCTGTCAGGGTTACCCTCACGAGGGTTACCCTCATGAGGGTGAGGGTAGCCCTCGTGATGGTTACCCCCGTTAGGGTGACCCTTGTGAGGGTAACCCCTATGAAGATTACCCCCATGAGGGTCACGAGGTCAACGTCAAAACGTTACCCTCGTGGCGCCACGTGCGACGTCATTATGGTAAACGCGTGACGTGTGACGTCACTTGACGCGTAACGTTACACGTGACGTATGACCTCACACGTGACGTCCACGCATTTAACATGACCAATATTCCCGCTAAATTTAGTGTGGAAGGAGGAGGCGTATACCCTTCCCTCCATACCCCTTTCTTCCTCCTTCTCAAGAGCTGCGCTCCAATTCGGCATTACAGAGAATTGTAAACGTCTTTCATGCTTTCTGCTTGAATTTGACAGCTTATATTGACATATGCTGTACAACATAGACCTGGGCCTCAATTTTCGCTTACTTAAACATCTCTCAGTAACAAAATAAATTACACCTTTATAATATGAATAAAGCTAATAGTACCCGTTACGAGTAAAGAAACTACGCTGATTCCTATTATTCCCTGGCGAAGACAAAAATAGCACGTACGTTTTCCCATAGGAATGCACAGGAAAAGTGGAAAAGTAGGCTGTTTGTTTTCTGCTTCAATTTGCAACCGGAAGTCCCGTAGACACTAGCGCCAGCTGAGCCTCAGGCGTTTATTGTAATAACTCTATGGGTCAGTCTGCTTATACATCTCAGAAAAGAGAGTCTACATACAGATTTGAACGCAAGTCCCCACGAGATCCGTGCTTCGAGACAACATGGCACTCGGCATTCGAACCAGTGATATTACGGTGACTCGTGTTTGCAGACTGTCTTTTGTATGATGGTATGAGCAGTGAGACACCGGCCTTTATGGGGTGCGGTCATGCATCAATACTGTATGATGTTTCTTAAAGGGTCACTACTATTTTTAGTGAAGACAGTGTCCCTGAATTACGAGGTGTACTTTTTTTTATGTATTCTGTAGCTTTTAAATACATCATCTCAACGTTCTGTTTTAGGGCCCGTCTACGGCAACACCTAAGCTACTGGCTCGAGCATGATGGAAACCCTT